TTCTCTTTGAAGTCTGTTTCTGAAGTTTTTTTGTTCAACTATAGTGACTTTTAAATCTGTAATAGAATGACCAGGGAGATTTACCCCAGCGGCGCGGAGGACCATGCTCAGCATGCAGAGGAAGGCTGCACAGGACCTGGGGGGAGGTCAGAGAGGTATGAAGTCCAAGCCACTGTTTGGCGTTGGCAGAGAGTGTGAGAGCGGAGAAGCTGCATGGTATTGGTAGGTGTGTATGAGGTCAGAAAGATGCAGAGGAGTGGGAAAATAACAAGGAAACTGAATCACTGTTTTCCCTACGAACCCCCAGCTCCATGGCCCCATATCCCCAGCACCGTGCTACGTGAGGGGCGCTGGGCGCAGGTTTACCTGTTGAGATGGCCCCAGTTGGAGAGTTTCTGTTGCGTTGAATTCGCTGGGACATAATTGTGCATTTCCACCATTTTGGGAAAGTAAAATTTCACCACTTCTGCTGCTAGAACTGCATAGGAAAGAAGAAGAGGAATCAGTGACAATGCCGTGCTCGGAGAGGTCAGCCTGAGCATCGCGCCGTGATCTGCATAATGAAAACAATGAGACGTCGTTATATATACGGATGCTCTGGAAAGATACAGTATAAACCACGGCCAAGACTAGTTATTGTCTCGCAGAGATTCCAGATCTAAGAGGATCGATTCACAAGTGAAAAAGAAGGGTTCCTTACCTCATAGCAACTGGGATTCTACGTCAAGTACTTGTACGACCAGCCCCATGCAGGCAGTGCACACAGTGGTAGATTAGCCACTGGGCCAACGGGGCCTGTGCCCAGGGGCCCCAGTCTATAGGGAGGCGCTGGAAAAAATCTGCTGCCAGATTTTTGTGAGGGCAGAAAGGAGCAAACGGGTTGTGGGCTGCCCCGGGGGGGTGGTGGGGGGGGGGAATGGGGCGGGACAGGGGTGGGGCTGTGGGGAGGAAGAGGCAGAATAGGGTAGGGCCGTGGGCGGGGCTGCAGGTGGAAGGGGCAAAACGGGAGCAGGACTGCAAGCGGAAGGGCTGGGGAGGGGCCACTCACTTGATCTGGCCCAGGGCCCTAGGAAACCTTAATCTTTCTCTGAGTGCACACGTGGGACTCGTGCACTTCAGAAGTGAGAGCCACTTGGACAAATACACAAAGAAGAATTCGTCTCTTCTAACCAGCAACCCTGCAAACTTGCCCTGGGATCAAAGAGGCATCCAGGTTATTTCCCTTTCATGCATCATCTGCAGCAGTAAACAGCGTTACCAACCCCACACAGTCAAAAATCATAAGCCAGACCCAGAAAAAATGGTGAGATTGGCTTTAAAATATCAGAAGATTTTAAAAATTAATCAATGTTGGCTCTTTATTTGCCTTGGGTTTTGTTTTTGTTTTTTCAAACCTTTAGAACTCATGTTTTCAAGCTTTTTTTCTGTAACCAAGAGAGCTAGAGACCTACTTTCCTATTTTTGAAATGGAAGCTGAAGTTCTCACATAGTCAGCTGACTTCAGCCACTGGGGCTTTAAGGAAAACATGAAATATGAGGGTTGCAATAAGTGTGCAAAAGTTGGTGACACCACCTGGCTCTGCTGGCCAAAATTGACCTGTAGTAACACCTGGGCAGCCCCTCTCTTTAGGCGTTGTGGGCAGCTCGCATACATTGAGCCTGCTGTCCCTTATCTCAAGGGTTTGGCCAGAGGGCTCCAGGATTGGGGGGCACAGAGGAGACTTAAATCCACCTTTGCAAATAATCCTGAGTTGTGTTGTGCGCCGTTTGGACACAGAGACTAGGAATTTGTCCGCAGTCTCTCACTCACGCACCTCTTTCTTAGTAACCCTAGAGCAATGTTATTTTAATTTCGTTTTCCTCTCTGTGAATATTGCTTGATTTTTTAAAAAAATAAACAGAAACTTGTTTTTTAACCAGAGGGTGAAACTGACATTTACCAACCAGTGCAAACCTTACGCACTCCCCCCGCATTCCCCCCAACCCCATCTATCTGCAAACGATAGAGCAGCCCTGTCTGTGGTGTTCAGAGCTGGATCCAAACTCTCCCAAAGTTCACTGCATCCCAAGGGTGGATGTGGCCAGTTATAGAAAGAGGGGTCAGCTGTCAAGATCAGAATTGTGTCTAGACTCCCCCAGAGCACTGGCTATTTGGATTCAGGAGCCCAGGTCGGTCCCATTACAGCAGAGTCTGGATCCAGGTCTGGACTCCGCCAGAGCTCAGGGTATTTCGATCCAGGATCCCAGGTCGGTCCCACTGCATTCAGCGCTCAAGCAATCCAGTCTGGATCTGGGTCTGGACTCTCCTTGAGCTCAGGGAATTTGATCGGGATCCATTCCTGGGTCACTCCTAGGCCTCAAGCTGTGGAGGGTGGATCCCGGCCGGACTGCGGCCAGCTCCAGGAGTTTGGGATCTGGTTCCCCCAACCTCCGTCGCTGAAGTCCCGGGTGATGTTCTTCTTGGGGCGGGACAGGGGGACGGCATCCACCCAGCTGTAGAGCTCCTGCAGGCTCTCCTCGTCCAGCTCCCCGTTCGCCATCTGCTCGGCCGCCAGCCGGACCCAGGCCAGGCCTCTACACCCCCACGCCTGCGGGGCACAGCCAAGCTCGCCCCTGGCTCTGCCTGCCTGCAGGGCTGGAGGCAGCCATATTGTTTTCATAGAACCATGGCAACGGCCGGCTAGAAAAGGACACTCAAGGGATTCTGGGAGGTGTAGTCCTCTGCATCCTGAAGAGGCTGGGGGACAACTGTTGCCAGGCAACGAGCTCGCCTAGCAACACAGCAGCGAGCCTGGGAGGCGTCCTAAAGGGGCGCAGCTTGCGAGCAGCACTGAAATGGTGCAGCCGATAACCGGTGCACGGGTCTGGGGGACGAATTAATATTATTATTTGCACCCCGGCAGCACTGCCAATTGCTACCGCCAGCCGCCCACGATCAGGGGTTCTGCTTGGAGCCCCAGCTCCAGCATGAGCCAAGAATGGCCACGGTCCTTGAACAAAGAGGCTGGGCTGGGGTGTGCGACGGGCCAGGGCCTAGCGGTTCAGGGCCTGGAAACTCCCAGGGACAACGCTGCGATCCACAAAGGGCCACGCTTGCCTTGTCCCTCTGGGCCGGTGGCTATTCCAGTGTGATGAATGCACAGCGTCGCTGAGGGGGGGGAGACACTGCAGCCTCACGACCCTGGTCCTGGTCCCCCAGCCCCAGTTGCTCTTTCATTAGCGATCCACCGCGGAACAGCTTCACCGGGAGAGATTGGATGAGCCCCACATCAGAATAGCTCAGTGGTTGGAGCACTGTCCTGAGAGGCGGGGGACCCCTCTTCAAACCTTTCTCCCGGCTGGCCGAGAGAGGGGAAATTGAACCTGGGTCTCCTGCATCCCAGGTGCGTGCTCTAACTGCTGGGCTAAAAGGTAGGGTGACCAGATGTCTCATTTTTATAAGGACAGTCCCGATTTTGGGGACTTTTTCTTACATGGGCGCCTATTACCCCCCACCCGCGTCCTGTTTTTTTCACAGTTGCTATCTGGTCACCTTACTACAAGGTATAAGGTGGGCACCTCCCCCATCTCCTCCTCTGGCCAGATTTGAATGGGACTTGCTGCCTCTGAGCACGGACCAGGTCTGCATGTGACTGACCTGGACACCCGAATGTCTACCTTTCTCTGATTCCTAGGTCGCTCTGGAGCTCCCGTGGGAGATAGAGGGCCCACCCAGTGCTTGGTGGGAGGCAGCAGAACTCATGCCCGAAGTCAGAAACAAGGGTGGTGAGAACTCTGAAAACCTAGGCACCGAGTGAATTTGGGCACCCACGGGGTTTGACAAGAGTTTTGTGGATCACAGTGGAGCCAAAACCGGGACTTAGGTGCCTCAGGCCAGGGTTTAGGTGCCTAAGTAAGTTTGTGAATCCCACCCTGTATCTAGCCCTGTTGGTTGTGGACAAACACTTTACAATGTGAGCCCTAAAGTCTCCGAACATACGGCAAATTAAAAGGCCCCACACGTATTATTTTTAATATCTCATGATTTTTGAGCACTTAGGGTTAGCAATACTGCAGCTCTAGTCTCTGGCTGATCAGGGCCCCTTGTGCTGGGCACTGGACATACACCTAGTGAGAGACAGCCCCTGTCCTGAAGAATTTACAGTCTGATTATTATTT